CTCCTCCTCCTCCTCCTCCTCCTCCTCTTCCTCCATACGATTGGCTTACATGAATATTCAGTAACCAGGACCCCTAAAATTCTACTGGATCTCCCACCTGTGTTGTCATCTTATCACAATCCATGGTCTGTGCCAAAAGCTACATTTCAGTATTAGAGAAAGGCTTGGAGTTTGAGGAAAGTGACAGAAATATTTATTAAAGTGGTGCACTTGGACTCCATGAAGAATGAAAAAGAGACTCCCTCATATTCACTAATCCCCAAACAAAATAACCATCAAGAAATATTAAAACACACATTTTATTAGTTTCATTTAATTTCCTAATTGCTCAAAGTCAGCTTACCCATTTACTGCTGTGTGAAATGCTTAGAGGCAAGGCGCACATTAAAGGGATTATTTCCATGTAATCCCTCCCTCCCAGAGGGTAGGAACTGATCACTTATGAATTCTGATTTACTCTCTGTAACAATATCAAATGGAGGAAATAGTTATTGTAAAATGATAGAGTCAGGAGTAGGGTAATACAGTAGGAGAGTGTAATTTAATAGCAGAGAGAAAGTACCTCATTTTCGGTAAAACTTATGCGAGCCTTTTTCAGGAATAGCTATTAACCAAACTGAATTTAGCCTCCCGTTTTTCTGGCTATACCTCTGTTAATTGATAGATGGTGAAGATGTGTAGCCTGTTAAGATTTTAATCAAATAGGGCCTGGGAGTGGATGTGCTCATCTTCCCGGGACTTGGAGATCTGGGGATAGTGATTGCCCGGGGATTTGGCTCTCTGTGACAACCCTCCTTCTCGCAGGAAAGGGTGCAGGCATTCAGGTGGAATTCGGAGGCGTGAAGCAAATTGCACAGGAAAGGTGATGAGATAGGAAGGGGTTTTAGGTAAATATCCACCAAGAAACTGTGACCCCCTGAACTGGCATTTCCTGTGGCACATCATAGCTGGCCCGAGCCCATGCAACTGCAGAGGACTGGGAAACCCATTAGTGACCCGGGGAAGCGTTTTTTCTTGTTCTGTTGCTGATCCATCTCTTCCTGTCATAGTACCTATAACCCCACTACACTAGTTTAGGAGCATGATTGCTATTCTTGGGAGGAAGGAAGCGCTATAGCATCAGAGGAGTACAGAGGTAAGGCCGATCCTTAGCAGCAATTTCTGGCCCCTTAGCACTGAAACAAGCAGTTTCTCCATTTCAGGCTGAGCCCCCTCTGATATTTCCTATTCATTCTCTACCTTCAGGCTCAGCCTGATACAAAGAGTCTACAAAATAAAACATTTTAAAGCCCTCAAGGAGATTTGTACCATGAATTTTATTAGATTGAAGGCAAAACAAGCTGATACCAGCAGAAAAACAAAATGGCCGCTGCAGACCCCAGCTGACCTCTTTTGCGTGGAAAATTCTCCATATGATTACAGAGCTAATGAGTAATATTTAATGAAAACATTATGCCTTTGCATATATTTGTAAGCAGCACTTCTTCCATTTAAATTTACATAGAAATAAGCTGGTATGTAAAAATACGCATCTTGGGAATCTGTGTGCTTTAAGGAAAACACTCATCTGCTGTCTCTGGCTATTTCTATACAAAGCTCCAACTTCTCAATAGAAAACTGGAGAATTCAGTCAATCATCCGGCTGACACCCAACATGCGAGCATTTGATGATGCGTGGATGACACAGCTGAACTCAAGGCAGCCTCACCCACATTTCACAGGATGTTTGGGCTTTATGCAAACAACAGTGTTTGAGAAAAAACTCTCCTAAACAATTGCTAAATAAATACATGTGAAAAAAAATCTTTCTCTTTCAATTTCAAGAATCCTTAAGCATTTGAGGATAATGACTTGGAATCATGATTGTTTCGGGGGGCTGCGTACCTTTCCTTTTCTGCTCAGACTCTGAATCACAGTGGTCCTGAATATGACATTGAAAGCCTGTGACACCTCTCTTTCCCACTCTTTCTCTTCCCCCTGTAGGTGGAGCTGACAGGCAGCAGCGTCTTTGACTATGTCCACCCCGGGGACCACGTGGAGATGGCAGAGCAGCTGGGCATGAAGCTCCCACCTGGGCGGGGTCTCCTCTCCCAGGGTACCACTGAGGACGGAGCCAGCTCAGCATCTTCCTCCTCCCAGTCAGAGACCCCCGAGCCAGGTGGGAATTGCAATCCCAACGTGTGGGTTGGTGGGCAGGACCTTTGCCAATGATTGCACACAAGTTGCCAGTGTGAAGAGATTATAAATAGGTTTAATGGTATTTAACAATTCCATGCAGCTTTCTGTCCCAGGCAGTAATTAAATAAAGAAGAGATTTGAAAATAAGGAGACATTCTAATAAGTATAATCCAGGGATCTGATTTCAGTTGAACAATAAATATAGAAGGCACTAGTGCCTTTAGTTTCATTGTCAAATTATTGGAGGGAAAGGTTCAGATTTAGAGAGCCCTCTTCCTTTTATTGTTACCGTGGCTAAATGTAATGCATTTATTTATTATTCAGCAAAATCTATAGCAGGGTCTTTTTGAATATTAGCTTACAGAGAATTAAAAGTATGAGGGACTTGCAGAAATCTCAATTTCTTTTTTTGTAAGCATCAGAAGGTACTTGAAAGATGTGAACAGATAAATTAGGGCTAAAAAGAAAACAGAAATGGCTACATTTTAAACTGCCTTTCTACCCTCAGTATTTAATTAGATCAATTGTATAGAGGAATGAACAGAGGTGACATTCCTCATTGGGATTCCTTCCAGGACTCTTATAGACTTTGCATTCAGAATGTTCCCATTTTCATTGTGTTGTACTGATGATAATTTAAGTATTAGGGGAAAATCCATTTATAAATTAAACAAAATGACTTGATATCCATCAGTCCCCTAGTTCATCAAGCTGTTCAAACACGGGGAAGATTGGCTGGTCGGCCTGGGTCTTCCGAGAGCGCTGGTAATTAGATCTGCGAAGGATTTATTCTTTGCTGATTGGGGCTTTAAATTAATTGAAGTTCCACATTTGTGGTTTTGTCCTTTTTGTACTTTTTTAGAGGAGATATTTCATATTCTTGTGTGGTGGAGTGATTGGCCAAGCAGCACTGGTTTAAATGTTAATTTTTCTCATGAGAAGTTTAAGATTTTTAATGAATCAAGGCCTGATTTGAAGTGCAAAGTTTTATTTGCTTATTTAAGAAATTATTTTTGCACTCTAAAGATGCTTGCCTTTATTTGATATGTTGTTTTAAAACAGATTCACAACACAAAAGCATTTTTATAGAGATAAAAACGGGGGGGGGGAGCTCTAAAGATTTCCACTAAAATAACTGTACATACTTCTAAGGAAATACTTTAATTTGACCTGCTTATAAATAATCACAGCGTGTTTGCTCACACAGAAGGAAAAAAACATAGTTGTCCTTTTTTGGAAAATAATTTAATTCCATCTAAAACCAATCCATGTTTTCTCATTTGGGTCACCTGCAGCTTGTAGGGCAGTATCTGTCCACAAGTGAGCTTCCTTCTCCAGTGAGCTCCACGCCTGAGAAAGAGAGTAGTGAAGACTGCTCTTTATTACTTACAAATGAAAATTTCGTTGGGGGGTGTGGTCACATATTCTTACAGCATTGCTCACTGACTTTACTGAATAGATGTGTCAGTGAGATCATGGGAACGGCTTTTTCAGTCGTTAGGATGTTCACATCTGGGCAGATGGAGACGCAGCACAAGCACGTAGTTGTCTATTCCTTCATGTAGACTGGGACAGGGGAGCCTGGGCTGCCCAGGAAAATCACTCAGTGTGTAAGAATCCAAGTTTATAAATCTCCATGTGAACGAAAGCCTGAGCAATGTGGGCTTTGTTTCCCTGAATCACAAACTACCACTTTAAGTAGGATTGTCAATAATCCTTTCATCTGACCTCCAACCTACAGAGCCATCCCTTTATAGCAAAACCAATACGTAACCTTCCAGTCTCTGCTGGAACTTGCTCCTGATGGGAAGCTAAGTGGGTACTAGGCTACCCACTCCTGCGGGGAGCAGCTCTAATAGAAATGATCCCTAACATGGAGCCGAAGTCTACGTTGCTGTAGCTTCTCCCTCTGATCCAAGGTCTACCCTCCGAGACCACATTTTCAGATTCACTCCTTTCTGCCCATCATAACTTCTCAAATATATGAAATCACTTACCCCGAATGCCCCTTCCTCCTGCCTGCCTTCCTTTCCAGGTCCAACCGCCTCATTCCACGGCCATGATGCATGTTCCTAAGACTCTCGCCACCCTAGTCACCCTCCCCTGGCTGTGCTTCAGTTTGCGGTGACCCTAGAAAAATATGAGTGTAGGAACTGAGTGTGGCCCTCTGTGGCCTTTCTCCGTTCGGGCTGCTGTACTTCTCTTAACACCACCTATGGTGGAACTAGGTCTTCTTAGTAGCCCGCTTACACTGCTGATTCACACCGAGCTTGATGTCTCCACAATCACAAACACGTTCAGGGTGACTGTCACTCGGAAAAGACTTTGATTGGGAGGAAAATATCCACAGCCTGTAAACCCGTTCTGCTAGGATATCCTAAGCTGGAGTCCAAATCACACCGATTTAAGGTTGCACGTAGAGCTCGGCTAGACCCGGGCCTTCTCTGAAGCACAGTTGGCAGAAAGCAACTCTAGGTGCACTCGGAGCCCTCAGCCCTCACCGGGCATCTTTTCATTCTGGGTTTTAGAGTAGCATACCCCCCTTAAGGCTGTGCTGTCATTTAACAGTTGAGGTGTGATTGAGAAGTTACTTGGGTTTCTTTCCCCTGCTTTCTTGAGCCAAGCTAACTAGTAAAATCAAAAACTCTGCTTTCTAAGCACACTCCTGAACAACCTGGGCTCATTAGCGACAGTCGCATAAGAAGGTTTCTCTCCCTTGATGGCGAGGGTCCCTCCTGCCATTAGAGAAGGGTAAACGCACTTTGCTTTCAAAGTCTGCAGTGTGGGTTCTTTTCAGTCTTTGGCTTGAAAAGGCAATTAGACTGACTGCTCAAATACTGAGAAGCGGGGTGGGGAGCTCCCTTTGGCTGGATATCCTCACTAATGCAGATCATTGCTCCAAGGGAATTACTTTAAAAGTTCATGTCAGGCACTACATCCCAAAGCTGCTTATGTTTCTTAAAAGCTGGAAGAATTTTAACAAGATTTCCTAATTCCTAATAACGCGGAGGAACATTTTTGAAGAGTGTTCTTCGTTGCATCATAATCTTTTAAACTCTGGTAAAACACAGATTCTTTGTGAAATAATAGTATAATGTGGTGGGAAAGGGATATCAATATGTGATGATTATGAAAATGAGGGGACTGGTAGGTAGGAAAATTTTCAGAAGCCCTGATGTGTTCACTGTAGCATTACTAAATGACTGAAATCTAAACAACATTTGGCATAATAATAAAAGGAAGCAAGTGACTAAACCGGCCTAAGAGGCATGATACTGTGCCATGATCGGAATTCCTTTTCTTTGAACTGCCAGTCCTTTGATTGTCTTGTCTTCAACCAGCCTCAAGATAATGAGAGAGCCCTAGCTGGTTTGGCTCAGTGGATAGAGCATCGGCCTGCGGACTGAAGGGTCCCAGGTTCGATTCTGATCAAGGGCATATACCTTGGTTGAGGGCACATCCCCAGTGGGGAGTGTGCAGGAGGCAGCTGAATTGATGTTTCTCTCTCATCAATGTTTCTAACTCTCTATTCCTCTCCCTTTCTCTCTGTAAAAAAATCAATACAATATATATTTTTAAAAAAAGATAATGAGAGAGGGGAAAAAAATTTGTAGACTGGACAGCAAACCCAGATAAATATTTTATATGTATGCACATTTCTTAATAGCTTAGTAATATCTTTCTTTTAGGGAACTCTTAAGGCAGGTGTAAGAAAAATAAATAGGCAGCCGTATTGAAAGTGAAGGGGTTCCGGTGTGCCTGTCCGGAGCTGCCCCAGCTGTCCCCCAAGCTCCTGCCCCCAGAGAAGCACAGAGCCTCTGGGAGTGATGTCTGCGTGGGTCGTTTTCTTTTTGTGGATCTGCGTGACTCTTTTCCTCACTCTTAATGATTCTGTAATCTTGGGATTATGAGTGCTACCCTCTTACTAAATTTCAATGCTGTATCTTTTAAACACTTAATAAGCAGAAAAGCAGCTCTTTTAAGAAATCCTAGAGCAGTGGTTCTCAACCTTCTGGCCCTTTAAATACAGTTCCTCATGTTGTGAGCCAACCATAAAATTATTTTTGTTGCTACTTCATAACTGTAATGTTGCTACTGTTATGAATCGTAATGTAAATTTCTGATATGCAGGATGTATTTAGGCGACCCCTGTGAAAAGGTCATTCGAACCCCAAAGGGGTCGCGACCCACAGGTTGAGAACTGCTGTCCTAAAGGAACTTTGAAAATCTCCCTGTTTTGGCAGCAAAGAGTAATATTACTCAGGTTAGGTCATAACATTGTTGGTTTTACGCCTTCCTCCTTCTTACTAAAACAGGTTGGTTTTCCTCCAATTATAAAATTAATTCAATTTGTTGTAAAAAGTCCAGAAATACAGGAAACAAAAAGCAACCAACATGGCATGACCCCCAGAGAACCCCATGTATGTACTCTATGTCCATCCTTCCCGGTTGGTTTCTGCTCCTATACACATGTACGGTCATGTGGTGGGGTTCCTTTGTTTGCTTAAATAGCATAACACACGAGTACATGCTCTGGTAGCCTGCTTTTTCACTTTTCCTGTCATGTTTCTCACTATAACATAAAATTTCCTCTCTGTCTCCAGTGGTTTGTTTCCCACCAGCTAACAATCAGTTCCCAGCTATAGGACCACTGTCAGGAGTCACGTGCCTGGGTCCTGCTTTGGAGGGAATTCAGTCAGGACGAGAGGTTCTTGCGGCTTACTGAATGGGTGCGAGCTCATAGAGGGAGAAATCAATACTGCACCAGGAATTAGACAATTTAGCAAAATGTATGAGACAGTACTTTTGGTGAAGGATAACTACAGCAACACCATTAACCATTTGCTGTCTAAAAATAGAGGTTAAGTTCCACGCAGATCTAGCTTGTTTGCGGGAGCAGGTTGGGGGAGGGGGGGGGCGGTGAAGATAATCATTGCAGTAGAATGATCTCTATGCCCTTTCGCCTACTGTATGTCCTGG